TTCTTTGTTCTTTTTAGTTATATATGGCAGTAGAATGTATTTAGACATATCATATATACATGGAGTATAACTTCCCACTTTTGTGGTCATACATGATGTGGAGTTACTTAGCTTGTATTCATATATGGGCTCTCACATTCCTGCACAGAGCTTAAATACACTGCTTCTGACATGACCCTCAAAGTTTCACATAGTCATCGGTCACTTAAAGCCATTTACCCCTCTTTGGGGGATTACAAATATTCTCCAAAAGATAACAGTGAGGGAAATGAGTCACCCATATCCTCTGAGAAAGACAGACAGCCTCTTGGCGAGCTGATGCAAATGCTGTAACTAACAACATGACCCTCAAATCAAGTGATAGCTGAAGAGGGAAAAAAAATGTCAGGCTCCAAAGCCAAAATATATTATTTTTTGGTCTCCTAAGACCTTTTATTAGTTGAAAAAGTCAAATTGATTTTCTCATGAAATCTGTTTTTAGTTCTACAATTGCTCTCAACTTCTTCCCAAGAAATACATTTCAGTATAATTCAATTGACTCCTGAGAATATACATTTTTTCCTAAAAATAAATATGAGTCAGAAACTAGAATGGAATCAGATGAAGATATGAGTTTTTGAATATTACAATATTTCTCTTTTGCCACTGAGACATGGCTTGAAGAAATAAGTTTTCTAGAGTACTAGAAACTCTTCTAAGTGAAAGGATTAAGTGAGTCTAGGCCATACACAAGATTGTTCCAATTTAATCCGATCTTAGAAACCTTAATAATTGCTAACTGTGATTGAAATTTATAAAAAGAAAAACATCAAAGTTTGTTTTCTCCTTCTATACCAATGCAATGTTGGTTTCCATAAATTTTTAGAACACTCTACATCCTTTAAAAAGAACCTCTGAGGTTTCTTGAATGAAATTATAGCCACAGTGAATGAATATTTTTAGCTCCTGATTATACAATCCTATCCTTCCCCAACACTTTACTAAGCAAGAAGATTTATGCATGAAAAGATAAAATCTGAGAGACAAATTTTGAACCCTCTGGGAAGGGAATGGGATGCAAACCAAGACTTGAGATGTAATGGCAACAACACTCTTTCCTCTCACTTAGGAGAGCATATAGAAATGACTCGTGGTGCTATTCAGTGACTGTGTACTGGATTGGAGAAAAAGGATGCTGTGGCATTTGTAAAACAAAAGTCAAGCATGTACAATGTGGTAAACTGCTCCCCAAATCAGGACAAGTTCTATGATGATCAGCATCCTACCTCTTTATATGGAAGAACCAGGTGATATGTGCCCTTTTCTGTGTATTAATTATTTCTCCCATCTAGCATCAGCCAAAACTATTAATTCCAAAAGCAAGTCTGGTTAGGTTGGCTATAGGTAGGATTGATCTTTTATTTTAATATAGTCTTAGCCAACATTTTTTTCTTTCTTTTTTTTTTTTTTTTTGGTGGAGGCTGGGGGTGGGTGGGTAGGGAGCTGCTAACACACACCTGTAATTCCAGGTACTCCAGAGGCTGGGGCAAGAGCATCACAAGTTCAAGGCCAACCTGGGAAACTTTAATGAGACTCTATCTCAAGGTACAATTTTTAACATATTCCTTACACTTAGAAAAACTGGTAATCAAAGTCATTTTCTCTAATCTGGTCAGAGGTCATGGGCATGACAGTTCAAGGGTATCTGGGAATTGTCTATCCCAATATGTGATACTCACCACAAAGCATAGTCACACAGTCTACAATGGAATGGATCCATGCTGTTTGTGCATAATCCTGAGCAAAATATGTCTGGAACTCCACAAAAAAAATTGAGATACATCTGAAAAGTACAAGGCAGGCGTATTATACAAAAAGCAAATAAACATGGAATTGACCCAGAACTTTAAAGTTTTGATTCAATCAGTTTTTTTCAATTTCCAAGAGTTTTACTGACTGAGGAATAGCAAGTAGGAATTCAGACGTGAACCGTTTGGGTCATTCTGGAGAACTAGAACAACAAGCATTCAACCCACAGAGGGACTCCTGAAGACAAGTAGATGTGAAGACCCTTGCTCTAGAGAAGGATTTATAGAAAAGACAGCAGGCCAAGAATAACATTATTCATCTTAATACTGTGTTAACATCTACTGCTGCTGCTGCTGCTGCTTCTTTGTTTGTTTGTTTGCTTCCTGTTTTTGGTACAGGGGACCAGACCCAAGGGTGCTTAATTACTGAGCTACATCCTCAGCCCTACCCCTTTTTAAAATTTTGAGATAGGGTCTCACTAAGTTGCCCAGGCTAGCCTCAAACTTGTGGTGCTCTTGCCCCAGCCTCTGGAATATCCGGAATTACAGGTGTGTGCCAGCAGGCCCAACTATCCATAACTCTAAAAGGTGATTAAACAACTTAAAATTTTAAAAATAAAAAGCAATTTATAAAAACAAAACCCAGGGGGCTGGGTTGTGGCTCAGCGGTAGAGCACTTGCCTAGCACGTGCAAGGCCCTGAGTTGGATCCTCAACACCACATATATAAATAAGTAAATTAAATAAAGATATTGTAAAACAAAAAAACAAAAACCAGCAGTTTCACTTCTAGGATTCATACAAAGGTAATAATCAGATCATAATGATGATAATAATAATAGATATACATAAAAGGATATATTTTGGAGAACTATTTATTGTTACCAAATACTGTAAC